GGGGGGGGGGGTGCGGAGCGTGCATGAAACAAAACTAGATACTGGTCTGGTCATTTCTGCGCCCCTCCAGGGTCTGCGCCCTGTGCCTGGGCACCGCTGGCACCGCCCTAGTTACGGCACTGGTTTTTGGGGGCATTTTGTCGATAAAATTGACATAATAAAATCGCCTTAAATTATCGCTAGCCCTATCCCAAACACACTGTATAGTATATAGTATAGTATAGTATGATAGCGATGATGGTGATCTCAAAGTGGTTACCGGCGAAGGAGACGCAGCCGACCTTGGTGCACATGGCGCGGCCCTCGGCGCTACACCAGCAAGTATTGCAGTCGTTCTGCCACATCGTGTTGGGCGCGCAACGGATCTCGGGCTCTGGAATGAAATATTATTTAACTGCCTCTGTGTTCTACGGGACTATTTCCACCTCTCGTTCCCACCGCTGCAACTCCTGTGTAGCCAGGATCTACAGCTTGATTGCTATAAAAACCCAACCAGTGATGGTCAAGTTTGTCCCGGCGGAAAGTTAAACTGTCATTGGACTCGCAACGAAATTAATCAGAAGAACATAGGAGTTCGAAATTAAGGTTCGACTTCCCTCCATTGCAAAGCGGATGATAGGTGACAAACAAAGTGCCTCTGTGTTCTAGTAAGACCACCTATTTTAAGCTAAGATTTCTTTATCCAAGTACAGGCGAATGTAATCTACTGAAGATGACCTAATTAGTGAAGGTCACGGGAAATAGGCGCGGATCCACTGTAGAGGGCATGACGGGCATACCCACAACCCCAACCTTCTTAGATGTGTGACGTCACACTTTTCTTTTGTTCCCCAGTCGATGAAGCATAAAATATGATGTCGTGCCCTGAGTGCCCGAGCAACTGCACTTAGGAGGATTAATGAATGCTGCTGACAACGCCACTCTTGTAAGTTTGTTGTCGACACGATAAGAAAAATAAAAGGTGATCAGGCCCAACCTGTCTAACCAGTGTGGCAAATATAGGCCAAATTTTTCATTTGCCTCACGTAAATTAGAGAGAGGACCATTCTCCTGCAGTAGAGGGGAAATGACATGATAACGATGATGATGATGAAGGAAAAGACCAAATCAGCGGACTCACTTGCGTCCTGTTCCACACATGCCGCCTCAGTGCATGCAGCGTAGCCGGACGCAATGCATTTGCAGTCGTTGCATCTGCTGCGCCATGTTGATCCTGGTGCGCATTCTTTGCCTGTTGGCAGCTCGGACTTCTTTGGGGCTGAAAACATTAATTTGGAATCAGGAACTACCTCAGAAAGTTTTGGCTTCATCATCATCAAGAAGACTCCTAAATTGTTTAGCTATTTAACTGTATTACAGACAGCGTTAAATAGTTCGTGACGGCCGAAGTAGGCCTTGGAGGCCTTTGTCCAGCAGTGGACGTCATTTGGCTGAAACGACGACGACCTAAAGTAGCCAAAAAGTTCGCAACACATCTTTTTTCCAATGAGGGCTATAGTTTTAGCGCTCACCAGTTAGCGCCACTGTAGAGTAAGGTCCTGTCACTTGCTAGTAGCGAAGACAGTGGCACCAACTGGTGAGCGCTAAAGTGGTAGGAGGACTATCGCAATTGCACTCATCAAGATGGCGCCACTGTAGAGTAAGGTCCTGTCAATCGCCAGGGGTGCCAACTGTTAAGTATAAAAACGATAGCCCTCATTGGAATAAGGTGGTGTTGTCAACTTTTTGGGCATTATGGATGTCATGAATTATTTGATGCTGACTGTACCATAATCACCATTTACCTCTTGACGCTACAGCTTTCTTCAGCTTTTTATTACTTTAGTGGTAGTACCATATATCTTTTTAGCTTAAATCACAGAAAAACATCACCCCAAACACTGAAAGATGGTGATGATGGAAGAAACTCACCAGCTGATCTCCGGCAGTACTGGATGGTGCACAGCGCCAAGCCATTCTCGAGGCAGACGCAGGTGTTGCACTCGCGCTCGAAGGTCGTGTTTGGCTTGCAGTTGATCGGTTCCGCTTTAAAAAAATATTAAGTACCTCATAATTACTATACGATTAGTTCCTACATACATGTACTAATAACACTGCAGCGATGAAAACTTTCATTTTCACCGCTGTAACTTGACAAACCCAACCAGTGGAGTCCAAGTTTGTTTTAGGAAAATTTAAACAGTCCTTAGACCCGCCACGAAATTTTACAGAAGATAAGCAGAGGTTCGAATTACTTTAGGATTGACTTTTCTCCAGTATAAAGGGAATAACACGTGAATAACATTTGAAGAATCCATCTCTCAATGCATAATGGATAATGAATTCCGACCCAATCAGTAAAGGTTCCACCCATAAGAATACTTACAGAAGACACCAGAATCACAGGCCTCCTGCTTCAAGCACTCGGCGACTCCTGAGTCGGCGCAGCGGCAGTAGTGGCAGTTGCTCTCCCACTCGCTACCAGCCAGGCACTCCGTCTGCCGCTCTGGCTTTTCTTCCACCTCCACGGGAGATTGGACTGGAATTGATGATTGAACAATTTTATTATTACTGTTCTGGATTGAACAGATGGGTAAAGGTTCGACCAAATCAACGTGATCAGCCGGCGTGCGCTATGGCGATGGCGATCAATGCGTTTCGCCATCGCGCACGCCGGCTGCACGAATTGGTTTGGCCGAGCCTTAAAGGCGATCAGGCCAGTAACATCATTAACAGGTTATTTCGTCAGGCTGAATCTAAGGTAAATTGGTGAGGGTCTTGCTCCTGCTAGGAGACTAATGACCTGATGATTATGACAATTTACGGCCGAAATCCGTCCGTAAACAATGATGCAGTTGTAAATAAAAAATACATGCAAAACTGTTAGATTGTGAGCGTACAAGAGACAAAACTAATATTATCACAGCTATTAAGCTGTTGGCGGAACATGACAAAACTACAAAGATGTAACAAGATCTTTACCTTTTTCGTCGTCATTGGAGCAAGCGGCGTCTGTTCCTTCCAACGAACATCTTAGTACTGAAACAGAAAGAGAATTTAAATTAATATCATCAACAAAGAGCTAAGAACTAGGAATAGGGTATCCAGGAAAGGACAAAAGGTACCTAACATAAAGTTATTAATAGGAGTACAACCTTTTTTTTATAGCTTATATTTGTTATTTTATGGTTATGTGAAGTTTCATCATAATCCGTTCTGTAGTTTTTGCATGAAAGAGTAACAAAGATCCTAACAGACTTCCATATTTATTAATATGTAGGATTTACAGTATTTTTCTTCGAAATATCATAAAACGGCCATTCTCACGATTAGGCGTTCTCAGCCTAATTACCATATCATTTTTGAAATTTGGCTTAATTGACTTAAACGCATTTAAATATGAAACACATGAAAAGTACGAATTTAACAATCGTTAAGGCGTCAAATTATTCCAAGCGGTTTTCGCGTAAATGAGACCCAAAAATTTTATGGTCACGGTAATTAGATAAGGCTAATACTTAATCTAACGGTAATTATAAAAAATATGTAAAATAGTAAGAAAACAATATCTTGCATTGATAAATTTGTATATAAATAAATAGCGTCATAAAAAANAATCTTTTGTACTCTTTAAAATGTTGAATGGAGTAAACCAAATCTATACGACATAAAAATTACAGCCAAGTTTTAACATTAAGTCGGTGCGCGGACGCGTAACGGTAATTAGAGAATAGAGGTTCATGAAATTTATTAAGTCACAAATACTTAAAATAGAGGCCTATGATTTAATGCACAACTGGATGGGGTTGTTAAGTAACATATAAAAATACATGCATGTCTCTAATTTGTCATTTTTAACGATTTAACAGCCCGGACACCCAAAAACTAGCTCATCTGAGAATGGCCGAAAACAATCGGATTCCTTGACAAAATGCCTTCCAATTTGGGCGGCTGTCGGCGGCGCGGTTGCCCTTTAACCCCGCAATTATTGCAGTTCTATTATTAGCCCCAACAATTGGCTCCATAATTACAACTTACAGTCGAGGCTCGCTAGCCAATGTCGAAATTTTTCATACAAAATATATTAAAAGTTAGTAAAAATGCACAGATGGATGGTCGGACAATAGACTGAGTTTTTTGCGCTGCTTCTTCTCAACACTGGCCCATTTATTGTCCCGAATATTTTAATATTTCTTTCATAAAGATAGTGCCTAATCCTACCTAATCTTTCTGGCCAGTGTAGCTGACAAATCCTCAAGTTGTCTCTGGAAAATGAGAGAGAGTCGTGCTGCAGGAGTTGCTCCTACGTGGAAACGTGACCTGCTGATGAAAGATAGTCTGTTGGCGCCGAAGTATGGGCGATGCACGGTTGGGGGAAGGAGAAACTAACCGAGATGGTGTTCACACTATTATTACGTCTTGGCTTACTTGCGCTATTACTTACTTGCGCTATGAGAATTTTCAACCGACTTCAAAAAAGGAGGAGGTTCTCAATTCGACCCGTATGTTTTTTTTTCTATGTTTGTTACGCGATAACTCCGCCAATTATGAACCGATTTGAACAAATCTTTTTTCGGCGTATAGGTAATACCTCAAGGGTGGTCCCATTTAAATTTAATAATAGAAAAAACAACCCCCAAGGGTGGAAAATTGGGGATGAACTTTTTTATACGCAATATCTCCGCCGATTATAAATCAATTTGAACGATTATTTTTTTGTTGAATAGGTATTATCAAAAGGGTGGTTTCATGCGAATTTGAAGAAAATATTTCACCCCCAAGGGTGGAAAATTGGGGATGAACTTTTTTATACGCAATATCTCCGCCGATTATGAACCAATTTGAACGATTATTTTTTTGTTGAATAGGTATTATCAAAAGGGTGGTTTCATGCGAATTTGAAGAAAATATTTCACCCCCAAGGGTAGAACTTTTTTTAATTTTTAGTTTTTTTTTGTGTTCACGCATTTGAAGTCGGTTTTATTTTTTAAAAAAGTTAATTATATGATTTATTTACCTACCTAGAGTTGAAAGCTAAGCTGCGACTGATCTTATTCGTTACCTTTTCTGCTTAGATCTTTAAACTTCGCAGTTTTCAGCAATACAAAAGTGATTCATGAGGAAGGTTTGTCTTTCGTTGCACCCATTCGAAGCCGGAGTGGGTCGCTTGTACTCATAAACCCAAAGACAAATAACTAGTTAGTTCAAGATACAGAGCCGTGGCCGAGCGTGACAGTTATCAGGGGTCGGGGTTAAGTCGCGTAGTACGTCTAAAGCATTCAAATCGCATGAATGGACGATAACAGATGACCCTGGCTCTGCGAGAGCTTGTTTCATTGGACTCCGGAGGACGCCGTCGGGTTTTAGTGGAAAGAAAGAAACTGAAATCCACAACCACAGAGGAACTGACTATCTTTCCTCCAATTGCTATTTGAAAAACTTAATTTCAAATCCTACTTCCTACTAATATTATAAATCCGAAAGTTTGGATATCTGGATGGATGTTTGTTACTCTTTCACGCAAAAACTACTGAACGGATTTTGATGAAACTTTACAGTATTATTGTTTATAACCCAGAATAACATAAAGGCTATAATTTATGACGATCTGTGACAAACAAAATTTCACGCGGGTGAAGCCGCGGGCAAAAGCTAGTATGATTGTCAACGCCGACTTCGCGTAATGGGAGGATAAAGAAGAAATTAGAGGAAATCTCAAAAACACACGTCAAATACACCAAATTCAATTCAAATTCTTTGTAGGCCCTTTTTAGGGGACCTATACACTTCCCAATTGATGTAGCTTGCTCTACCACCACTTCGGGACAACTGGACAATCGACTGGTGTTGAGAAGAAGTGGCGGAGGAAACTCACGCCCGTATTCACAAATATTACTATGAGGTCTCACAGTGCGCGTGGACGCACAGGGTGACACACGAACCAATCACAGAGCTCTATTCAAGGCCGTCCGTTTGATTTGCTGCTTCACTTAAGCAAGCATCGTTTGTGAATACGGGTGTCCGTGTAAGTCAGTGTATAATGTTAGATGCTCAGTCTCAATTGTTTGTTTGTATAATTGCTTATGTCTATTGACACGGATAAAGTATCGGTTTATTGACTATCTTCTCAATCATTTCTCGGAACAGATAAGGGGAATTCCTACGTAAATAATATCAATAAATAATAGAAACAACTTACGTATGAGTTAAACAAATATTTTCCATGAGATACTAAGCCAAGGTTCACGAGATAACGTCTGGTCAACGCATGTCGGTTTTTAATTGATCATTTATTTATTGTTATTGCATAATTAGATAGTAAACTGCGCAAAAATTGTATATGCTCTGAGCTATCATACGCTCACTAGTTAGCGCCATTGGCAACGGGACTATTCCCATTGTTTCCACTTAACCATCAATAAAACCCAACCAATTAAGGGTATATCCCGGGGGAAGTTAAACTGGTGATGCTGCTGATTTTATATGTATAGCCACGAACATAGCCCAACGGTGAAGTGGTCGGATAGGCCGACTCGAGATCCGAGGAACGCGGGTTCCAAATTCCAATCCCACCGCTGCTGGACTATTGAGCCCACTCGTAACACAAGCTTATTTAGCTTAACACGAGGGGCTAAAGGGACTATTAGTAATTTTGCAATACAAATTGTAAAAAAAAATCCATTTATCTCACATAACCTATGATGCCTGCACGAGTGAGCGAGACAAAATAACTTTTTCGAAATAGTTTTGCATCACAAACCGACAATACACATTTTGCATGCTAAGGACATTAAGACTACCCTGGTGTACCGTTAGATTTTCCATCTATCTCACACGTGAGCGAGCCAAAATAACTTTTTCCAAATGTTTTGTATCGCAGACCGACAACGACAGTCACATTTGCATGCTAAGGAAATTGAGACTACCCTGGTGTACCGTTGGATTTTCCATCTATCTCACACAACCTAAGATGTCTGTACGAGTGAGCGAGACAAAATAACTTTTTCCAAATGTTTTGCATAGTAGACCGACAGTCACATTTGCATGCTAAGGACATTGAGACTACCCTGGTGTACCGTTGGTTGTATTACCCATTCGCGGAACGTAGGCGAGTACATGCGGTACAGTGGCGGCCGAGAAAAGGGCCACACATTGGGAACTTATTGTGCTAACGAGTTAGTGGTCCTAAATCTAACATTCTTCTTCTTCTTGTCTTGTCGGCAACCAACTAACAGTGTCAGCCCAATACTCTACTACAATTAACTGCTCTACGACTACGATGACAAACCGAAGACTAATGTAATATTTGTATTGGTAGTTTTTATTAAAGACGTAGCGTATAATAAACACAAAACCTCAAAAGAAAATCATGAAGATGGGCTAACGTGACACAATATAATTACTTACGAAAGTGTTATACCTACATCACAGTCTTCGAAATCTGCAACATTTATGAACGGACTCAATTAAAAATAGACTAAAATTAAATCCAAAATTAATTTGTTCAAAAACGATGTAAGAATAAAGATAGCCAAAACCGTTACTTCACCCTTACTTACTGGTTTGCTTTTTATTTAAAGTTAATTAAATAGTGTAATCACACTTATGGCAAATAACCATGGCCGCGAGTGTAAGGCTTAGACCAGAAGGACCAGTTTAGACGAACTAGCCTGGGTCAATACCCGGCTTTTAATAATACCTATGCGTTTATGTAATCCGAGCGCGCATTAAAATTCACACTATGCTACACTTGCCATTATGTTTGTCTTGAGCGCTGGTAGAGCTTCAAAGATAAGAAAACATATTGTAATAAAATCCTTAAGGGCTACATTCTAACTTTTTATAACCTTCATAATAAGATCTGGATTGGAATTTAATAAACATATTTCGTTTCTTTTAATCCTTTCCATCTGGAAGGCTAGAAGATTTAAAAAATCCGTGAATATGAAGTAAAAAAAGTACAAAATAAATTGCTATTTAGTCTCAAACAGATGGTGTTGTATACACCTTTAGTTCACGATATCGTATTTTTACAGTAA